GTAGTTTTCAAATTTATAATTTTTTGACTTTTCGTCAATTTTGTTAGAAACAAGTACTAATATGGTATTTAAACTAAGAACCTCAACGTAGAACATGGAAGGAATATCAAATATAGAAACATCATTAGAAGCAAAGTAGAGTATTTGAAAAACTGAAAATATCCCAATAAACATTAAAATCTCCCCGAGGCACACACCTTTCTTTATTATTTACTTTTAAATAAATACAGACAGAAAGTAACCAAAGACAGCAATTGTTCTTAGATAAATTTGAGGGAAAATTTTTTGAATCAGAACCTAGAATTTTAAACAGCAATAAAAGGTGTAAAAGATACTATTAAATAATCGAACTAAAAAACAGTTCGATTAAATATTTTATCAACTTTAATAGAAATGATTTATTCACAAAAAGATCGTGAATGAATAAACTTTCAGACATGCAATATTAAGAATAGTACATGGCTCATAGATTATTTGTTTGGTTTACAGATTATTCAGTTCAGAAATACGTCTAATAGTCTACTATTATTATTAATTATTATAGATACATTAATATAAAGTTTAAAATTAGTATGTCATATATTAGTAGTATTCAAAATAATAAACATAAAATTCCTTTTAAAATCACAAACGCAAAAATTCTCATTTACCTGATAATAAAGAGTAGTTTTCCGCTCCTATAATCACGCCTAGATTTCTTAAAACAAGTTTTAAAATTTAATCCATGTAAACAAAAACAATTTATTCTACATCGTCACATTTCCCTAGGAATATTTCCCTACTGATGAATGCTCACGATTCCTTTGATCATGTCAACGTAGCTTCAGCTGCTGCCTGTCGGACAAAATTTGGCATGAGAATAAAGGCGCCACAGATTTGTAGGGTTAACGTAATAGAATCTTGGCTGCAAAGTACTTCTCAAACACACTCAAAACAGAGTATGCAATAAAACTGGTTTAATCTTCTCCCTTTCTTTAGATCTCACTTTACTTATTAAGTAAACATAAATATTCAAACCTATCAATTAAGATGCACATGAACGTATATGGATGGTTGGCTGAAAGCTTCCTAAAACCGGAAGTAATTTAGAAAACCGCTTATGTTATGCTTACGCTTATGTTATGCCGCTTATGTTATCCTCCGCTTATGTTATGCTTACGAGGCGATGTTTGAACAGGCTAATATTCGAGGAAGCTTTATTATTGTGATTTGGGTTTAAATTTACGCGTAATTCATAAGAGTTTATTGTAATTCATAAATTCTAACTGATCGTGAGAACAAAGCAAATTTAACAAAAGTAATATCGTGAATAAAGTGAAAGGTTTGCCATGTTTTGAGTGTTAACCCTTATTTGGCTATATTTGTGTAAAATAGTGCCTTTTTTTTACTCTGGGTTAGCATCATAGCAAGCTTGCGGAGTCTTCCGAATTCATTTGTTGATTGTTTCGTTGAAAGTTGAATTGAAAAAACTCGTTGTATTGAAAACACTACAAGTATAATCATAATCATCGTGTTTTTTCAAGCTTAGGGGTAAACAGCAGCCGGAAGACTTACGGTGGATTTTGATCCCTCCCAGCTCCATCGACGATTAGCTTTACACTGCCAATTTTCCATTAGACTTTAGGGACCGTCTTTACTGCGTATGAAGCATTTGTTATGTGAGATACTAGAATTTGGAGAGGTGAATGAGAACCCGTAATAAACCAACCAATTAAGTTTTCGCTCTCATCCACAAACTTTTCTCATGCAGTGCAAATAATCCCTAAAGGACCGTTCTCATTGGATACGATTATTCTGCATGCGAATTTAAACAGAATTGGTAGAAAATATTTATCCGACAAAAACTCGCCTATCTGGTTCCCATTTGCATACGATTTTTTTGCGTGTGAAAAAATTTCATCCTGTGAGAATACCCTTTAACCTCCCATGATTTTCTCTACAATAATTCCTAACACAAGAAAAAGAGCCTCATTCAAACGTGAGTGGATGTTATAACAAAAAGCAGAGTCTAATTTACAGGAGGGCATATAGGGCACTTTCCAAGGACTCCAACTAGTAAGGGGCCCCCACGCCAAACTACATATGAATTTTTTTTCCTAGTTTAGCCTTTAATTAGTAAGAGCCCCTATTTTTCTCATAATTTTTGTAGTTAATTTGTTTTCTTAAAGAAAGCAAGGCAAATACAGAGTAAGCTCCGAAATTTCAATTGCCGAAAAAAAATTTTAAGCTCTCAAATTACAAACAAATTTTTGGAAGAGAACGTCACCATTGCGTAATTCTAAGCTATCTTTTCATAATTTATTATCATATGGATATTTTAAAAATTTATTTTCAGTATTTGAAACTTCATGGCTTAGGTTTGTATGAACTCACTTTTTCTACACTTTAAATTTTTAATTAGTTATGAAGGTGAAAGAGAATTTGCGAATGAAAAGTTTCTTCTGTGGTATGGTGCTCTATTAAGCATTCAAAAAGAAATAATTTCTCAATAAATCTCTATTTAATTTGTATCCAAAGAAATGATATTCATGTTCGTGTCGTGAGACGACATCATATGTTCACCTCTCTTACTTCTTTATTCTATTAAAAGGATTTTTGTTTATTCTTTTTGTCATTGTGCGCTATCGTCTTTGTTTTGAATTTTATCAGTATAAACTTGAAATAACTAGTAAAGAGCAGATGAAAGCATGTCATCAAAAAATACAATGCTACTAAGAAATACATCGATTATATATCTTTTCATATAAATGACTTGATAGATAATTAACATTTGAAATTTGATGCAAAAACAAACTGACAAGGAAATTTTCTTTCCGAAAGTATTTTACAAGTTTTTATTAGCTGAAAAACATTATTATAAATGAAAATATTAATTAAATGAGAAATTTTATCACGTATATTTTTTTGAAAAACTGTATACAAAATACAAAATATTTTGAGTATGGGTTTTTGAAAAATTTATCTATCTGCATTATTACGCTTCTGCCTTCGGTTACATTGTAAAAATTCCTGATCAAATTCCGGTAAAAAGTATCAGCACTTAGGGTGCCGGTATTTTTTACCGTCTAATTCATTTTTACTGGAGCATGTTACGGAACAAAAAATCTGATATGCCATAATTTTTACAATTATAACTACCACAAAATCACTGAATTACTCAAGTTGAATAAATATTACAGTAAAAATTACGGCATGATATTTTACGGTAAAAATGAATTTTTCCGTAAAAGGGATTTTGTAGACGATGCACCAAAATTGTACAGAATAGCATTCTATAGCGTTCTATAGCATTCCATAGAATCCGCACAATTAGAAATCTTATATAAAATTCATAATGTTTAAAAAAAATATTTATGAAATAAATAATGAAAAAAATATTAATGTAAATGTATATTATATTTATAAAATACTTTTGATTTAGTGCCAATAAATTGAAAAAAATTATTTGATTGTTCTTTTTTAAGAAACGTTTACCATTTAAAAAAATAAGGACAAATGTTTAAAGAAGTAGTACTCAATATAGGACAGGAGAATATGGTGAAGGAAGTCGAACCCATATTTTAATATGCTCAAAACTTTAACGAGAATATTCAAACATGAAATTTTACTTTATCACGGATAATAAAGTACAGTTTTTGTTAAACCAGTACTCGATGTAACTATTGCGGCTACGGAGTTTCAATTTGTTGGAAGCATGCTGCATATCAGTTATTTGATCTTTTCTATGAGACTTACAATGAAGAAATATACGAATAATTAAAATATTGTTTCGCCTAGAATAACATAACGCTGCTATAAATTCCGGATCAAATTACGATATAAAGTACCGGCACTTTGGATGCATCATCCGTAAAATCCATTTATACCTTAAATTATGTCTTAAATTTTACATTAGCATTTATTTAATTTGATGGATTCTGTGATTTTACAGTAATTATTACAGTTAAAAAATTCGGTAAGTCAGATTTTTTGTTCCGTACCATGTAATAATAACATGCAATAATGACTTAAATGACATGAAAAAAACCATACAGGTTATGGTAATTAATTTTTTTTATTTAATTAATGAATGTTAAAAATGTTTTTAAAACATGTTATTAAAAATTCTATACATGTTACGGTGAATAGTTCCGGGACCCTGAGTGCCGGTATTTTTTACCATAATTTAATAAGGAATTTTTTACAGTGTACTTTTTCACAATTTTAAATAATATCAAACTATTGCATTATTATTGTTATATTGGAAGATAAGGTTCAATTAACAGTTGTAATTGTTTGCTTTTACTTGCTTACCGTAATTATTGTTGGGTTTAAGATAAATTACTCTACAATGTATTCATTCTATAATAACTATATTTTCAATTAAAGGTTTACAATTTAATCAATAAAAGGGTTCAAAATGAAAAATATTTATTTCATAAAGTATTAAGATACACAGGACCTGCCTGCTGTGCTTTAATCAAACCCTAATGTTAAAATATTATTTTTCAAATGTATGAACAAATTTTATTTTATAGAAGAAAAAAATACGAGCACATGCGCTATCTTTGGTGTTCAATTTACATTTAATAATTTGGAGCGTTTGCTCCAAATACATTGGACCGTATTTGGAGCAAACGCTTAATAGATGTTTAATAATATTACACTTATTTGGCAATTTTGGTCGATATTAAAAGAAATATTTGTTTCTAAATAGATATTGCAACAGTAAATTAAGAGAAAACTCAGATATCTTCCTTGATTTTAAAATTACTTAGAAAAGTATTTGAGAAAAAGTTTTTCTTATATTATTTTAAATCATCGTTCTAATTATTGAACCTGTGAGTCTATCTTATCTCTCTTACTCAATGTATCAGATAATTTCTGTCTTTTCAATATTTCAACAGCGTGTTTCGCACGTTCGAATAAATCTCTGGATAATGTAAGTATTTTTCCATGACTTTTGTTTACAACGTACAAAAATAATACTTAAAACACTCTTTCTTTCCTTGGCAGCATATTTGTGTAATATTTTAAAATGTAAGTTAGTTATGAGCAATTTAGTACTAAAATAATAATGTATAGCTCCGTATAATAACAAATTATTTCTAAACTAAAAATTCTTAAAGTTGTTTTAAATATTATTGTATAAAAATGTGTTGTATTAATTTCATATTAGTATCAAAAACTGTTTTAGATTTCTGTGTAGCTTTAAATGCTTATTAAAAAAATGAATTTTCTCTAAAAATTGTAAAATTTTTTTAAATTATTATTTTATTAGTTTGAATTAGTTATTTAAATTATATTTTTTCTACCAGTCTCTGTTAGGTTTAAGATGAAATTTACTGAAACATAAATTAAAATTTTCAGAGAATAAAGAAAATATATTTAGAAGAAAATTCAGTACCGTTTTAAACATCTTTATTTATTTTTACACCATTAATAAAGCATTTTATTTAAAATTACTAAAATTCATATAAACTGTTTTCTAATATTTTTCTTAATTCAGCATTTCAATAAATAATTTTTTTAAAAATCACTATCTAGCAAAATGGCCTTAATCGTTATGTGATACGAGTTTGAAGAAAGTGTAGAAGTATTTATATATATTTGCGAATATTTTCTTTAAAAGATCAGTTAGCATCTTAGTGAAACTAGTCCTTGACTTTCATCAAATTTTTAATCACTATTTGAAAAATTCTGAAAACAATTATTTCTGTACCCCCCTCAAAAGTCCTAGTATTTTAATTTTATTAGTTTAAAATAGAATGGATGGTTATTTTGTTTTGTAACCGTCGTTGAACAACCGACCCAATGTTATGGGTTTACGACTACTAATGTTCAATTCCGTAGCCTTGTAATTTTAAACCCAATCCAGAAGACTAGGAAACTCCTCTATTAAGCATTGGGAGAAATTTGCCTTCGTGGAGGACTTTTTGATGGAACTAACTCGCATTTGCAGAGGAAGGCCACGAGAACCTCCCACGGTTAGCCAGGCGGCAAAGGGACTCTAATTCATGATCCGTCTACCACTGAGGATATTTCTCGTCAGTACTGTGGTCGGTGCAAGCCGGATGCGGAATTCTTATCGACTAGGATTTGAACCCGGTTCGCATCATTGGAAGGCTAATGTTCTATCCCCTGAGGCATCGCGGCTCTAGAATGGATGGTTTTATTTTTATTTTATAACCGTCGTTGAACAGCCGACCCAATTTCATGGGTTTACGACTACTTACGTTCAACTCCGTAGCCTTGTAATTTTGAACCAATCCAGAAGACAAGGAAACTCCTGGATCAGTACCCCCAGAGGTATTGATTTGTTGTGGGAACATGGAGGACTTTGAGACTCGACAGATTTAACGTGCATCAGTCACCATTTACTACACGGGGAGTCTTCGGCCGGCGAGGATCGAACCCACGACCTCTTGGATATGGGCGCAGCGCCCTACCGACCAGGCTATCCCGGCCCCAGAATGGATGGTTGACCATTTCAAGCCAAGCGTAAAAGGCGCTAGAGGTTAAAATTCGTCGTAAGACTTCCGGGTGACTACTTCCGACTGATTTTTACGCCTAAAAGCATGAAAAAATACACCATCCAATATTATTATATTTGTAGTGTTTTCAATCTAACGCGTATTCAACGAAACAAACAACAATTAAATTTGGAAAACTCCTCAAGTTTGCTGTGATGCTACCCAAAAAATAACAAACGGTTAAAATTGATAGTCGCAGTTAAACATTGGTAGTCGCAACAGTTAAACATTGATAGTAGCAACAGTTAGACATTGGTAGTCGCAACAGTTAAACATTGATAGTAGCAACAGATAGTCGCAAACTCAAAATTGAGTCGGCTGTTCAACGACGGTTATAAAAAATAAAATAAAATAATAAATTTGTGCAGTCTACACTCTTTAATACAAACCTCCATTACAACTACTTTCCTAGTATAACGACTGGGACATGTATCGTTTTTTTATTCCACAATCACGTCACAATTGACATTTACTAATTTGTACCATCAAACCCTTTTATCTTACCGCCCATAACATCTTGAAATCCCCCCCTCCCCCCCAAAAAAAAAGATTCGTATATTCTTATTCTAAGTGGTCGTAATCTACAGTTAAATCAGTAATAGTATAATTGATATGATTAAGTCTTATAAATAATAGCGAGTAATATTGTATAAACAATAACTAAAAAAAAAAAAAAATATTCATTTTCCTTCTATTCCAGCCCTGTCGGTCAAACGTGTCCGTCGGGAAAATAAACTGTCACGCAAACGTACATGTTGGGAAGATAAATTGTTGAGGAATGTATACATGTCGGGAAAATGACTTATCGGGGCAAACGATATCGAAATATGATTCTTGATTCCAAGTGGCGGAAATCTACAGTCAAAACAGCAATAGGAGTAATTGATACGAATAAGTCTTATAAGCAATAGTGAGTAATAATATATAAACGATAACTTAAAATAACAAAATAAATAAATAAATAAAACTATACTCATTCTCTTTACATGCTAGCCCTGTCGACAAACGTATCCGCCGAGAAAATAAACTTTCATGCAAATGTGCATCATCATCATCATAGTTGGCCAGACAGTCCAGTGTGAGCCAATGCCTTCCTCTGAAGATTTCTCCATGATGATGACTTCCGATTTATCTTTGATCTCCCATTCTTTTCATTAATTGCGAGAAAGTCCGACTCCACAGAGTCAACCCATCTCAACCGCGGCCTTCCCCGCTTTTTTTTCCAGTGGGTCTAAAAAGCAGTATCTCCTTTACACGTCGGGAAAATAAATTGTTGGGCTAATGTATATGTCGGGAAAATGAGTTATCGGGTCAACGTACCTCTTGGGCAAATGAGCCGTCGAAAAAACGAAGTCCGGCATTTCAGTTATCGGGCAACCGAGTGTCGAGACACGTATTAGACAGACATGAAGCTCCTTGTGTAGTCAACTTTATACTGTTGAGTCCCTGTACCTATAATTTAAAAAAAAACGTCAACATCTAAAATTTATCATGCACATATACTTGACAGTTAATTCAGCTTCTATACAACTACAACTTATTCAAATTATTATTTTCTTTTGTAGTAAAAATGGTCTTTAACAGCAAATATGAAGATGTACAGGTTATGCGGTATCCCAAAGAAAATTCTGGAAAATTGATGAAGGAATTTATGAAGGTTATAGAAGAAAAGTACGATAGAAAATTTGGTATGTAGAATAAACAGATACGCAAATGATTTTCTTGTGTTTACTTACTAAAAATCTGTAAGCACAATGCGATAATCTAATGTTTGGTTCTTCACGATCTAAGACTTAATCCTAACGGTTTGAGAGGGTGACCTCAAATATGCTGATCAATAAGGGCAAACGATAATTTAAGTTAAGAAATCAGACACAAAAACGTTCTTTTACTGAATAAACAAACTTTTTTTTTGACGGATTTGGATTTCTGACCTTCAAAATATAGGAGGTAGTCGCAATATGGGAAATGTGGTCCCAATAGTTTGATCAGGAGAGGGGTTCACCGTTTGGACCTCATAATGCTAATTTAATTTTTTGCGTATTTCACTGTATCATGGGAACGTTTCAAGCGAATTGTTTTTGCACATAATTATAAAATTCGTTTGTTCAAAGATAATTCGATGCAAAAATAAATTTTACTAAATATTTAAAAATTTTTTATTATTTTATTTGGAATAAGAAAAATTTAGAATTGTAAGGCACACAATTTTTTGCATCGTTTTAAAGTACGAAATTTTAAATGGCAAAATACGAAATTTGACCGAAATGAGTTGAATAATTCCTGAGAAATCGTATTTGTAAATATACGACTTTTTTAAAATTCGATGCCTCAGGAGATGATTCGACAACCTTCTCTCCTTTGTATTTTTTCATGCAAAATTTCAAACGTTAATATGATGCATAAAATGTTATACTTTACAATACAAATGTTTTTCGATTATTATTAAGTAAAATAATAAAAAATAATAAATATTTATGAATTTTTTTTTCTTTAGGTTTTTCTTTTTCTTTGACCAAAGAATTTTACAATTGTGGGCAAAAAACTTTCAATTCGCTTAGAAAGTTTTCCAGATATAGCGAAATACGCAAAAAATCAAATTAATATTAAGGGTCCAAACTTTGGACCCCTCACCTGACCAAACTATGGGGACCACATTTCCCAGATTACGTCTGCCGCATATATTTTGAAGGTCAGAAATCCGAATCTGTTGAAAAAAAGGTATGTTTATTCAGAGAAAGTACGTTTTGAGTCTGATTTCGTAACTTAGAATATCGTTTGCATTAATTAATTAGCATATTTGAGGTCACCCCCTCGAACCATTAAATCCGATTAAATCCCCCTCGAAGTCTGAGAACGTGAAAATCCAATTATTAGATCAAAAGTTATTCAGGATGGTTTATTTTTCTTTGCGTACTGTGCCTACAGTCAGGCACCATGTATAAACATCAAATTAATTTATAAAATTTATTTTCGAAATAACAGAGCAAAATTAGTTTTAACACATTAGCGGAAAATTTTTTTCAAATTACGACATTGTTTTTTTAAAATTTTTTTAATGAAAATAGCAGTTTTTTTTGTTTTTATTTATTGTTTCTTTAAAAATATTTTCTTTCGTTTTAACTTAGAAGGATATAAAGATTTTCATAAGTGGACTGTGGATTACCTAGAAGAGTTTTGGACAGAAATGTGGGAATTTACAGGAGTGATAGCTTCGAAAAAATATGATAAGGTAACTCCTTACTGAAGTTTTAAATAATAAAAACTAAGTATTGTAAAGGATAATTAATGTAATTAGCAATATTTGCTGCGCAAATACTAACTGAAAGCAATTATAATTAACTTTAATTAGCATAAAGTATTGCGTGCTTTGCATCTAACATTTCAATTACTTAGTGTTTTACATTATTAAGAAGAAAAAAAAATAGTTTTAGTAAATTCAGCTTCTGCTTAAAATTTTACTAGCAATTTTCAAAATACACTGGAGTTTGTGATTAAAAAAATGATTTGATGCACAATTAACGTAAAAGGCATTGTCTACCAGAATATGTGTGGTAAATTTTAAAATTTACCATTCATTTGGTTTAAATTACTATATAGTTTAGTATTTTTCACTAAGTGTGTGGTAATACGAACTATAATTTTAAAAACCAGAATTTCTGGGAAACTGTTACCATAGAAACGGAAAAATTACGAAATGAATGGTTTAAATACTGTAAATTTTGGTTTTAATTACCAGAATTATATATTTTTTTTTATCAGAAATGTTATTATCATACAGCAGTGTTTCCCAAACTTATGACTTTTGTGTACCCCTTCTAAATTTTTCGTAACGCTGTGTACCACTAATAAGAAAATGATAGTATTTTTTGCTATAAAAAAATTACACAGAAGTTAAAAGTCATAACTGGCTGTTGACACCCCTAATTATTAACTGTTTACTCTGCAAAAACTAACCTATTGAAAAATACGTAATCGTAAATTTTCTTGGCTAGCTTTGTTTTTAAATAAAAGTTTTTGAAATTTTCGTTTGTTGCAAGATATTTCGCATAAGAGCGCGTACTCCCGATAAACCTCTGGGGTACGCGTACCACACTTTGGGAAACACTGCCATACAGTATGGTAATTTCATCAGAATTTTTTTCTCCGGGCATGATTAAGAGAAAATGAAAAAAATAAAGGAATATGAATATGATTTTGTTTTAGGAAAACTTTAAATAAACTAAAATTAAAATTATCATCTTCCGAAGGTTATAGACCTAAGTGTGCCTATGAATGAACCCCCTGAATGGTTTTCTGGATCAAGATTGAATATTGCAGAAAATTTATTAAAATACAGAGATGATCATGTTGCCCTAATATGTGCAAGTACGTACCATTCCTTTATAAGCCTTAAATGCATTTTATGACACAAAATCCCCCCCCCCCCAATATTCCATGTTGCATATGTTGTTTTCTCAAAAAAGAATTTTGTACCAGAAAAAGAATGATATAAAAAAGATTACAAAACAGTATATTTTTTATAACGTTGATATATTTAAAAAAGTTCGTGTCACAGCTATCAATCATCAAAAGGCGTACTGTTTGTTTAAATCATTCAGTTATTTATTAAAAAAAAAAATTACATTCATAACATTCTCATTCTTTGAGGAAAAAAAAATAGAGTCAAAGCAACCAGAACCATGGTAAAATATACCGCGTTTTTAGCTCTATAGGTACACAAAAAGCTTGTTAACTTCTAACGAAGCTATGGGTAATTTGTTTGGTAAAAATACCAATAAAATACAAAGTGTGATTAAATTCGGGAAATATGGCAACATTTGGTAATATTATCTTGATACCTTAAAGCATGACATATCCATTTGTTCGGTTAAATTTACTCTCCAGTTTTGTGTTTTTTGATGAATGTGTAGCATTACGAACTTTAGTTTTGAAAACCAGAATTTTCGGTAAACCATTGCCAATGAACTGAAAAATTATGAAATGAATGATTTAAATACCGTATATTTTGGTTTTTATTACCAGAGTTATTTTTGTTTATCAGAAACGTTACTACTACACAGCAAGTTAATTTTACAAGAATTTCTTTCTTCTGTGTATATCTGGATGATGTGGCCACCATATCATAAAATTTGCATATGCAGGGGGTGAACAAAATAATGGAAACACTTCAATACTAATAAATTTCTTTCATATCTCCCCAGAAATAATAAGAGAATTATTTTATAATTTCAGAACTTTTTAGATCTTGAGATTTTTCGTACATATCAATGAAGTTTAAAGCTTTTCGAGGTTTAAGGGACCGACAATAAAGTGCATAGGGAATATAATGTTTTTGGACATTCTATGCCAAAAAATGTAGCAATAGATTTCCAAAAAATAAATATTTCTTTGTCTTACGATTTTTTTGCTATAACTATGAAAATATTCAATAAAATCAAACAAAATTCTTTGAGCAATTTAAAATTTATTGCAAAATTTTTGCTTTAAAATTTGAAAATTTTTGTTCAAAACTGCGCAAGATATGAGTAATGAAAGTAGTTTTTTTCCTACTGTACACGCTCGAGAAAATTTATTTTTTGTTCTTAATTTTATAGTGAATCGTATTTGGCAACTAATAAAAAAAGTAAGATTTGAATATCGTGGAAATTTAAAAAGTTTCACGCAATTTTCTAGTTAGGATTCGCACTTTTGAAAAGAAAACTCAAGATAAGGGATTTTCCACACATTTCATTTTGCACTATTAAACTAGATTTATTAAAAATGACACTGGTATTGTTAAGGATCATCCCTCATAAAAGTATATTTTATTATACCTTTTTTCTATCATTATTAAATCACATTTTGGTGTATGAAGGCTTATTGTATAATATTATCATTTGTTTTTAAATTCTATCTTCTGACACAAAAAAATATTTGTAGAAAACTCCTTATCGATTTGAGCGTCTTTGAAAAAGTACGAATGCTATTTAGAAAATTGCTTGAAACTTAAGATATTCGGAACAAACATTTTTCATTAGATGCCAAATACTACAAAATTATGAAGAAAAAAAAATTTAACTTTTTTCAGCTGATGCGCAGTATAGAGGTACTACTTTAAATACTTATATATTGTACAGTTTTAAAAGATTTTTTTTTCAAATTTTAAAGAAAAAATATTGTAATTAATTTTAAATTGTTGTAAAAATTTTCTTTAATTTCAAAGTTAGTTATATCAAACAAAAGTAAGACAAAAAAAAAAGACATGTTGACCTCGTTGTTACAATCATGACGTTGATTGCGAAAGATTGGAGCCTCCTCTTCTAAGACCCTCCGGCCCACAGCAGGCTGTTGCGGAAATATTTTATGTTAGAAAGTATTTCACATTCATAAAAATGTTGCTTTCTAGGTGAAGATAAAGAGCCAGAAATTATCACCTATGCCGATATGTATGAAGAAGCCAAGAAATACTCTGCGGCGTTCAGAAAGCTAGGTCTGAGAAAGAATGACACAGTTGCTTGTAAGTAGGTAATCTTAAAAAAGTGATTTTAGATTGATACACTTAGGTTGATTGGCATCCTAGATTGATTCCAAATTGATGCATTTCAGGTTATATGTCCAATAGAAAGGAGCCTATCTTTGCAATGCAAGCGGTTACAAGCATTGGAGCGATTTGGGGAGCGGCCCTACCACTCTTTGGTTCACAGGTAATGAGTCTTTTTACAAGATGAGGTTAAATGTTTTGTAAAATCTTGTGTTTTTAGGGTTATTCCACTGTATCGTCTTCTGCGAGAAGCATGAAATTAAACAGTGTTTTATAATAAAAATATTTCATAATATGGATTTATGCCAGTACTATCTGATTACTTAATATCAATGAGAAAAAATAATTTTGGTTTTCGTTTTTTCAGATTTCATTAGAAGTTTTCAGTTTTGAATATGAAAAGCTTAAAGATCAAACAGCAACGATTAATCTGATTCATTTTATTTTACAACCGTCGTTGAACAGCTGACCCAATTTTTTGGGTTCACGACTGCTAATGCTCAACTCCATAGTCTCGTAACTTCATTTCGAATCAAATTCAAAAGACAAGATAACTCTTGGATAAGTTATATACGAAAAAAATCAAACTTAATTAAGAAAATATAGGAGAACCTTGAAAAATCACCATTATTGATGCCAATGATGCTTAATTATTTTTTATAGTTGGTACTACTGGTATTGTGGTAATTAGTACTGTTTCCATCGATAAAAAATGAACTAATATAGATACTGTAGTAATCGGCTTTTTAATGCCTTAGAAAGGAATGAGTAGATTATTAGTAGAGTTTGAATATATTACGAGTTGGTCATGAACAATCATGCCAAACTATAGTGATTGCAGTTATTTAAATGGGATGAATTTCTATGAACGTGTGTTACTTAATCTCATAACGTAAAGTCATTATGAAGGGCGAAAAATAATAAAAGTTAAAAAAAGGGAATTATTTAAGTTTTATTAATTGTGTCGATATATTCCTTTCAGTTTTAAGCATAATTTCGTAGTATTTATTAATACTGGTTTAATGATAATTAACTATTTTTTTTACCTTGTACGAAGAACAAGTAGTATTTGGATAGTAAATAAATAAAGGAAGGAAGAAAATAAAGGAAGAAATAGAAGGAAGAATGAGAAAAAGGAAGAAAGAAAATTACAGTAGCCTAACAAGTTTACTTTCCAAAACACAAAAATCTGATAAATGATAAACATTCAAGCTCACAATTACATAGTGTATTTTCACGCACTTATTGAGAAATTACTTGCAATCACCTGGATGCAATAAAATGAACACAATATAATAATTTAAGAGTAGTATCTTAAACGCATGATTTGACGAGTGATTAGAAATTTTGACGACGAAGCTATTTTTATCTCCCTTATCCCGCTGATAGGAAATCAAAGTCGTCCTTAATTTTCTTAATTGTATTTAATGTTTGATAAAAAAGAATCAATGCTACTTTCACATATAAAGGCATTTTTTAATTTTATGCAGTGTTGAAAAAAGTCAAAGAAGTGCATATATTAACCCTTTGGCGCCGAGCCGATGGAACACCGGTGTCCCTTTTATATGTATTTTCTGACGCTGTAATCACAAGTAAAAATGCATTTTTGGCATTTTTTAAATACAAAACAGTCTATTACCAATCAAAAAACTTTGTTAGATTCTCGCAATTATATTTTTCATGAAATATAATATCCAGAAAAAGTAGTTTGTAGTAGTTAGTAAAAAAAAGCAATAGTAAGTAGTCTCTTCATTTATATTCAAAAATTTATCAATAATTGATTTTCTAAATGAAAGAAATTTCAATGATGAGTTATTCTTTTTTTTTTTTTTAGATCTAACTGACTGAAAATAAGTGCAAATTTGAATTATAGCCATGTTTGGAAAATTTTAACTTAAACGTAAAAAGGAATACCGGTATTCGATGCCGTGTTTCATAATCATACATCATTACAATGCTAAATATATTATTTTCCACTAATTTTGACCTAAATTAATTCAAAATAATGAAGAAAATAGGAAAAATATGCTTGATGAAAATATTTCGTCAAAGGGTTAAGGAAGAGTTTTTTATTTGAATTTTTTTCTTGTATTTTTAAAAAAAATAATTTAGATTTTTTTAAGAATGATTAACAATAAGAACATGTTGCTTTAAAAATATTCTTTTTAATTGCAATAAAGTTATTACAGTTTCAATAAAATTATTAAAACTGTATAACACCATCAAAAAGTTTCGGTCTTAGTAAATAATCTTGTATGTGGAATATTGACAAGCTGCTTATTTAAACTATTGTGCACAAAAAATGGCTTTGTTGAAAAAATAACGTGATGAAACAGAAACAGTTGTTTTTCGATGGCTTTGGTTTCTAGACCAGCGGTTCCCAATGTTTTTTTTCAGCTATGGAACCAGTAGTTGTCTTTTTTAGGTGCAATCAGATAGATGTTCATTAGCAATACTGAAAAAAATAATGAAAGAAAGAGAACCAATTACTTTGAAAGCATTCAATGTAAAGAATGAAATTTTTTATCGCTTTATTAAAAATAATCTTTCCGTCAAATTTTTTTTTTCCGAATAATTATTTAAAGTAAAGTTTTCAGTTGAATTTTTATAGCTTAAAAGAATTGCTATAAATGCTAGAGAATGGCTATGTTTCTTTATTGTTGTTCTTATTAAGTTTATTTCGAATTGATGAGGAACTCTAATACAGATTTCTTAACAAGGCATACTTTTTTCGTAATTTTTTCAATAAAAATTAATTATTTTTAATTTTTGCTGTTTTTTCTCTCTGGTATTTTCCTTTCATTTAAGGAAAAAAAAAAGCTGAACACTTTTCTGGGATCACTTTTCAAGAATCGCCGTTCTAGACGCTCAAAATATGAGAGAGGGTAGTAAATATGGCTCTGGTTTTAGAACTCGTTACTGGTTTTAAAAAAGGTACTATTCCTCGGAACCCTTGTGACTCTTCCACGGAACTCTAAGGTTCTGGGAACACTTTTCGAGGATCGCTATTCTAGACCCTCAAAATATGAAGGAAGGTTGAAAACACGGTTCCATTAGTTTAGTTTGAATCGCTTGCTGTAAATATCACTTTTCGTGTGTATCGAACTGCTTAAAGGAATTGAAATTTTTTTCGCATACAACAGTAAAATTCTTTAATACACGGACAATTTTGTACAGAAATATAATTTTGTAAAATTATTTAATTTAATAGAGGCCGATAAATTTTTGAATCGTCAGGTATGCAGATTTTAGAACTATAAAAAATTTAAACATCTATTTAAACTTATATAGTTGTATTTATGTACAAATTTTTACTTAATTTAAAAAAATGTATCTTCTAAATGATATAGTACAAAACTGAAAACAGATCATCAGCTAAATATTTTTTGAGAAATTTGCTTTCAAAAAAGGCTGAATTTTATATTTTCCAAGAACTCTTTTTCCGATTTCGTTCAAATTTTATATTCTGTCACTTTAAACCAAAATATTTAAAATGATGTAAAAAATATATAACTTACAAGTCAAATGTTTATTAATTAAAAAAAAATTTCATTATTAAATAAATAAAAATAATAAAAATACTTTATTTTTCTTGTAGGGAATTATCTTTGGACATTCAAACTATTGTAAATATGTGCCAATAATTTATGAGTTTATTCCCCTTTTAAGTTTTGCTTAAAAGTGTTGTTACCACCTACTGTTATTACACATATTGCAAAAGTCTAAGTTCATATTAGGAACTTCTTTGTTAATTAAAAGTAATAATGTATTGTTTTTTGGAATCTTTTATAGGCAGTACTGAGCAGATTCAAATTAGTTGAACCAAGAGTACTTTTAACCGTCGATAGATTTTTGCAAAATGGAGAAGAAATAAATTTGCTCCCTAAAGTTAAAGAAATTGTTGAAGGTAATTTTAGCCTATTAACTTTGAATTTTTACGAATTTTTATGTGTTATAAATTCACAATTTATCTAACATTAAATTTTAAAAACTCATTTTATTAGTTTCATATCCTGTGGTAATGCAGATAGATGCCTTATAGGAATCTAAGAACTTAAGCAATAAAATGATTCTTTCTAACTAATCGATATAGCATTTCGAATGGTCTGATGGAAAACACTTTGATTTGCATGTAGGCGGTAAAATTTTCCTCTGTAATGTGCTGCCATCTAGTAGGAAATCAAAAAATTTCTAAATTATTTGCATGGAAATAATATTAAGTAACAATTCGATGCTACTCTATCACCCTCAGAGAGATTACAATAATGCCATAACCCCTTGAATTAAAAGGTGTTTTTTCATGATATTTTAGAGCATAGCATAAAAACCAGTTATTTGGTTAAATTCACTTTTCAGTTTTGCATTTCTAGCAAAATGTGTGGCAGTAAGAATTATTATTTTGAAAAGCAGAATTTCCAATAAATCACAGAAAAATCTCGATACGTAGCAAGAAAAGTGTTTTTTTTGTTGGTTTTTTTAAATCTAATGCTTTTGCAATAAAAAACAAATATCTAAATTATTTTTACTGATAAAGAAATTAATAGACTAAGAATAAGAAATTTAAGAAATAATAATCAAAAACACATTTTCATTATTATTACTGATTTTTTCTATCGTTTATCAAAAATTTCTAAATATAATTTAAATTTATCAATTATCCATCTAAACGTATAAGATTTTATTAGAATTCTTATTTTAATTCTTTCTTTTCTTTTTATTAGGTTTGCCATCATTGGAAAAGGTGATAATTGTTCCGTCACAGAAAACATCTAAACAAAAGGATATCAGCAATATTAGAAATAGGTAAGGATTGTTTCAAAGATCCTTCATGTATTAAGTTTAAAATATTAAGTATAGAAAAATCAATTTTCGTTGAGTATTTAAAACCATTGAAGTAAAAGCTTGTTAAGTGACATTTTGGAGGAGGTATATAATAGATTTTACTCGAATGTATATATAGATCATTAATTAATTGCGTATAGTAAGCTTGCATATTAATTCACTTAACAATTAAATCCCAAGTGTTAACTTCTAGCTTAGTATTTGAAATTTTGAATAGCAAGCATATGTAAAGTGGCATTCTTAAAGCACAAATGTTTCCTTTTTGGTCAGAGGGCAATGCGGGTCGAAATAATTAACATTCAGTTTCTTGCCCATTAAGGCTGTTTTTCGAAGACTCCGTCGTAATATGAAATGATGCTTTTTTGAGAATAGTGTGCTGTTTTTATAGCTGCTGTGAGTTTGCAACTGTTACTTATGACTGTTAGATCAAGTTCAGCCTATCTAAAGCGAACTCTGTCTACGCTTATTGTGATGATGGCACAAAACGTCAATATGAAGAAAAGGAAAAGTGTTTTGTGAAAAGGAAAAGCGTTTGTGATCTAATTTTTTAATATTTACAAACTTATTCCAAATCTGAATCACCTGGGCTCATAAAAATGTGCCAAAACTGAGAATAACGCAGTGATTTTGATAATTTTCATCTAGGTGGGAAAATGTCACCAAATTGGCGATTTTTAAAAAAGTTTACTAACTTTTAAAATATTTAAGTTAATATCCTGTTCTAAAGCCTAAATAACTATTCAAGACAAGATTATATAAACATTTTAAAATCATCGCATTGCTTCAAGTGTAAAGCACTTAAACTATGGCTGTTTTATTTTCCTTGGCGACAGAGCTTCGAAAAACAGCGTTTATCAAACTCCTTAGAACATCTTAAAAGGTAGTTTTTGAAATAGTACTTGGCCGATTTTGGTTGATGTTAAAAATACATAAATAAATAGTTTATCTAGGATAGAACATATTAAATTAAGAGTTTGTTCTAGTTCAATAATTGAATTTTATAGTGGAATACACGTTAAGTGACATTTAGTGGAATTTTTAAAAAAACTGTTTTCTAAGCTTTAGTTCAAGGTAAATACCTCTGGATTATTATAAAAGTATGTAGCATCATCGATATTTAACAATAAACAAAGCTGTTTATTTAACATTTAATTTCGATATAGAGTTGTTAGTAAATATGCTTTTTTTGCAGTTGTTTTTTGGATGATTTTTTGGAAACAGGTTATACGAACGGTTCAGTTCCTGATATATTGTTTGAACAGCTATCGTTTTCCCATCCAGCATTTTTAAGTTTTACTTCTGGAACGACAGGACAGTGCAAAGCTATGACTCATGGATTTGGAGTACACAAATTTAATATTACTTTCCATATTTTTATGTATTATATTACTAAATTAAAGTAAAAAAGATTTTTTTTTTCGATATAGAATCTTTTGGCGTCCTACAGAGACTTTTACCTGCATGCTGATGCCTCAAGAAATAGTATTTGGTTCTCCATGTCTCCGGTAATGATGCTATGAGTTTTTTTAAATTTATTCTTTTTTAGGTATTTTTTAGGTAAAGACTTGTGGGTGTCGCATTGAAATACTATTCCAACATATTTATTCATACAATTCATTTACACTCATGTTCATAAATTAAGGATAATGCCATCTCTGGCATATAAAGATTCAGAAATAAAACAGACGTGTAAATAATATTCGTAAAGATAATTTATTAACCNAAGGAATGGTGGCAAAGAAGTAAAATTGTTCACAAGCGCTTTAAAAGCCTTTCAGTGCAATAACCGCATAGTTATGGCACAAAGGAAGCATTTGGATGATTTTTTACGTGGCAGAATCATCGGACGACTGGAATGTGGACGTACCCAGCTGGAAGTATCCGAGGAACTTGGAATCACCCAGAGTGTCATCTCCAGGCTTTGGCAACGATTCCAAGATGATGGTAATGTGAGTAGACGTTACAACACAGGTCGCCACCGTGTTACAACGCCGAATGAAGACCGGTATTTGGCAGTTACTGCCAAAAGAAACAGACGGAGCACAGCATCAGACCTGTCTCGTCAGCTCTCTTCAGTTACTGGTACGACAGAGTCAAGGCAGACCGTGTACAGACGCTAAGGGCACATTGGTCTATATGCTCCTAGGCCTGTCAGATGTGTTCCACTTACCGCAACTCACTGTCGCCTGCGATTAGCCTGGAGTAGAGAGCATGCATTGTGGACACCGCATCAGTGATCTTGTGTGATGTTTTCCGACGAGTTCAGATTTAGTTTGCGGTCTGATTCTCGCTGGACTTTCATATGGAGAGCGCCAGGTAACACCAAGACAACACCATTGAACGACACCGTTACGGTGGTGCAAGATGGCTCGTTTGGGGAGGAATTATTCTTGGTTCCAGAACTGACCTGCATGTTCAGAGTGTAACGATGACAGGCCACATCTATAGGGATGTCATTCTGGAACAACATGTATGTTTGTTTCGGGGCACCATGGGTGCTGAATTTCTGTTTATGGACGACAACGCCTGCCCTCACCGTGCAAACATTGTAGACGAATGCCTTCAATCGGAGAATATCACCCGTATGGATTGGCCAGCATACTCACCGGACTTGAATCCAATAGAGCGTGTGTGGGATATGCTTGTCCGACGAATTGCAGCCCGACAACCCCCTCCCACCTGTCTACCGGACTTTCGGAGGGCATTGCTTGATGAGTGGTGTAATATTCCCCAAGATCAGATTGATAATTTGATAGTCGGCATGCCTAGGCGTTGTACGGCCTGTATTGCATCGTCCGGGAGACATACTCCGTATTAACCATCATACTAACCTTGTTATACTGTTTTTTGTAAATAGGTTCTTTTTTGAAATTTGCTCCAGGGAGTAAAAATCGCAATTTTTATTAATTATCTCAAGCATATAGCATCTTTTTTGCTCTTTACCTTTTGCTTAATACATGGACTTTACAAATAAGTCAAATTTGTTTGGCTTCTGTCTCTTTCTGTGCCTGAACTTCATTATCCTTAATTTATGGACATGAGTGTAAAAGATTACTATTTTTCGCACCTCTCTACTTAATTTGAATAATACCTAGTCCATTTTCTCTTACATTAATTTTTTTTAAAAATTTATTTAGCAGAATACTTTCAACAATTATTTCTCTCCCGTTATAATTTAAGTTTTCCATTTTTGGCTGATATTCCCATTAAATTTAAAATTATTCCGCCAACTTCTTCTGGTCATGGATTGTATGGTGATTTTAGCTCGTCCAGTTGTATTCTATCACCTCATAACATATGTATCATGAGTTTTGGAACGTCTTGTATAAGTGTGTATAGTTTTTTTTATTTTTTACTTTGAATAAAATTGTTTCGAATTTATTTTTAGTTCAATTTGCTTTTGTCGTATATGCATTTTCTTAAAACGATATTTTCACAGGCTGGTTGGTCTTCGTGGAATATGATGGCAACTTTGACTTTCACAGGATTGACGATACTTCTATATGAAGGAGTACCATATTTTTCTAGTCCGACAGCTACGTGGGATATGGTGGACCAATTTAAAATAACTCACTTTTTCTTGGCCTCGAGTGTATTAGAAGAATTAAACAAACGAAATTTTGCCCCAGGTAGTTAATTGTTTTTTTTTCTCTTTTGGTAAGAAGTTTTATTTTAGGTAATTTTCTGCATGTTCACTGCAAAAAATTCCGCAAAGGGTTAGAGAGAAAAAGAGAACTTATCTAAGGAGAATTATTTTCATTAAGGTATTTCACTGAGTTTTTATTTAATTCATGAGTATTTAGGCACCCAGTCGAGTTTAGAGTCGATGGTAGAGATGTAGAGGGTAGAGTCCTCACCTGAAAAGGCTTTGACCGGAGTTCAATCACTCGATCTGCCGTGGGTGTCGGATCGGATTGCACTTTCTCCGAGTGTGTTTTATTTTTTCGGATTAAATTTAATACAATATCTTTGGTTTCAAAGCCAAGAAGTTATTTTCCAAGTTTAATTTACTTTATTTCCGTAAAATTAAGGAGTCTGAGGCAAACGTTTTTTTGTTTTTGTTTTTACCAAAATTAATTCTCTATAATTTTACTTGATTTCCAGTAGATTCGCATGTAAAAATCGCTTGAAGTGTAGAAATCTACACAATATTCCACCATTTCGAATTTCGTTGGTCAGAATCTTATCTCGGTTAGAATCTTATCCCGATCAGAATATTGCGTCATATGAATAGTTTTCTAGAATATGTTTGCTAAATTATAAATAACTCAACAAATTTTTCTTTAAAAAACTTGAATTTATTTCATTTAATTAATTTAAGGTTATTTAAGGTTTTGAGGAAAAAGAGAAGTATTAGAAAAGATATATTTGCTTAAACATTGTATTGAAAAGACATATTCGGTCAAACATTGTACCAATAAAAAAAAGAATGGCATGAAAATACTGAAAAAAGTAAATACTGTCATTTATCTTGATGATGAAAAAGAAAAAATCAGATAAAGTTAAAAACTTTAATGGATAGTATGCAAAAATGCTAAATTTTTAGAACAGGCACGAGCTCTTTACTGTGTAGCCGAGTAGAGAATCTCCAATTTACTGTAACAATACACAAATTTCATGACAATTTCTGTCTTTATTCAATATTTTTGTATTTGTGTACGTTCGGTTAAATTTTGCTTAAAAAAGTATTAAAGCTAATGTTAGTGTTGATTAATAATCAAAGTTTAAGGAAAATTTAGTAACATAAAAGGAATTTTTTATTAAATTTATTCTGGTGTTTTTCATTACACATGTAAATAATGTTTGTTTGAATATTTTGTGTTAATAACTCTGATTTTTGTTTTTGTTATTGATTTTGGTACTTCAATGTAAAAGTTTCTCTTGAAGGATATGAAATGCTTGGGTACATGTAATGATAAACCACATTTTCACATTTTTCAGGAGAGTTGTTTCTGATGAAAAATATCATGATTTTTATGAAAGCATTAAAATAATTTTGTGTATTGTGTTTTTATATTCCGGACATTTTGGCAACCTGTAAAGTATCTGTCTGAAAATAATACTAATGAGCAGATTGATGTTAAATTGATTGATGTGGCTTATCACTATATTACTCTAAGGTTTTCATACTTAAAACTCAATTACTTCAATTCATTTTTATCGAAATTTATAATTTTTTGCACAATTAAACAGTTTTTTTCTAAATTTTTTGTAGGTCCAAATAACCATTTGTCATCTTTAAATTCAATATTTACTGGAGGAAGTGTTGTTAAACCCATAGATTATGACTTCATTTACAACAAAGTAAAGAAAGATGTGAATTTTTCTTCAGTATATGGTAATATCTGTTGATTTTTTTAAAAAAAATTGAGGTCTAAACATGAACGAAATTTTATAGAAATAACAAAAATTGATTTTCATTAAAGAAAAATGTGTTGAGCTCAAGAAATTTAGGAATGTTTGAAGCTGCAAATGTTAAAGCAGTAGTTCAAAAACTATTCAAAAGATCTAACTGGTTCAATGTATCAATTGGATAAATTCCAATTGGATAAATTAGACCAATTCCATTATTACGCTGTAAAAAATTCCGGATCAAATTGCGCTAAAAGGTATTGGCAACTTGAGTGCATCATCCGTAAAATCTATTTAACCGCAAGATCCATTTTTACCGTAAAATTTTAAATCATAATTTTAGTAATATTTACTTAATTTCAGTGATTCAGTGATTTTACAGTTGTCGTTGTTTCGAATGACACTTCAGCAAGCCAAGCTCCTCCTCCATTGTCCTTTTGTGAATTAACTCAGGAAGGCGTGCCTTTCGTTTGACAAGTGTGCACTGCAAGGATGAAAGTACATCTTATTTCAGAACCCCCAGATAGATGGCAGCACCTCTTATTAATTTTAGGAATAAATCTGAAACCGAAGGAAGTTTTGGATCCGACCACGGGCCCTCCGAAACGGGGTCCGATTCTCTACCCACTTACAACGGGATTTTATAGTAATTATTACCATCAAAATTACGGTATATCAAATTTTTGTTTCGTAAAATTTTACGTTAAAATGTGTTTTACATACCGTTAAATGTGTTTTACAAATGTGTTAAAAAGTACTGGCATCCTGAGTGCCGGTACTTAGATCAGGAATTTTTTATAGTGCAAGACTCACTAAAAATGGTGAAATTTTTACATCAATGGGATTTTTTTAGCTATAATTACAAATAAATAGAATATATAGTTACAAAGAATAGCATTAGGTGATTAAACACAAATTAAAAAAAATTTAAATACCTATATTTCCTACACCAAGAGTCCAAAATATGGAAAACAAAACTATAAAGGCAAAGTCGAAGTTTATACTCATTATGCTTTCCTGAACAATTAATGACATCTAGCGTTTTTAATTTTTAATCATCATTTATTTAAAATTATAAAGTTTAAACAAATTAGCTGTATTATGTGTCTTTTGTATTTGTAAAAGATTTTTGACGTAGAATTTTAGTGTATTTTTATACCAAAATTTCTTTTCACATGCATTTTGTTAACGTTTCCTCACGGAAATATAAATATTTATATGTTCTTCTAAAAACAGGTTCAACTGAATACATTGGAATGTGCTTAGTTCCGGAGCATTTGTTACCAACTCATAGAGGAGAAATACCTACACCATGTTTAGGGATGAATATTATATGTTTGGATGATACAGGTAAAAAGTTAATGTTTTTTCATTTTACAATTTAAAAATTTTGTAAACTTATATGACTATGATATATTTTTTCAGTAATTTATTGGTTTTTATGCATAATCGCAACGATTTATTGGCAATAAGAATATTAGAATACCTCAAATATTCCATATTGTGCAAAAAAATAAATAAATAAATAAATAAATTACACTGAATAATTTTTGATCTAACAGTTCGGGGGTAATTGACCTCCAATATGCTAATTGAAGTGCAATATCTAAAATTTGAAGTTGCGAAATCAGATACAAGAATGTACTTTCTCTGAATAAACATACCTTTCTTCCGATCAGATAAATTCCCAAGATATGGTGGAATTCGCAAAATATTAATTAACATTAAGGGGTCCAAAATTTGAACCGCTCTCCTGGCTAAACTATTGGGGCCGCAGATTGCGACTACCCCTACATTTTGAGGGTCATGAATCCAAATCCAACAAAATGATATGCTTATAAAGGAAAAATGTGTTTTTGTGTTTGATTTCGTAACTTAGGATCTCAACTACTTTAATTAATAACATATTCAAAGGGCCGGGATAGCCTGGTCCGTAGGGCGGTGGGCCCACGTCCGAGAGTTCGTGGGTTCGAACCCCGCCGGTCAAAGACTCCCCGTGTAGTTGGTGACTGATGCACGTTGAAATTCAGTCGGGTCGCAAAGTCCTCCATGTTCCCATAACAAATCAAAACCTCTGGGGGTACTGGATTAGAGATTGATCGCTCTCTGATTCAGGTCAAAATTACGATCTGTGGATGAATGAATGTATGTATGAATGGGTCCGCCTTATAAGCAGGTGTGACGTATGATGTGGCAGAAGTCGAATTCTTGGCCACAGATGGCGCCACTGAAAAAACAAGAATCGCACACTCTGCCTTAAATTTGCTCGGTTTCACCAAGCAGGCTTGCCCGTGTGGCAAGTACCAATAACATATTCAAGGCCACTCCCTTGAACCATTAAGATTGAGTACGTGATCCGATCATTAGACCAAAAGTTATTCAGAATCGTACTTCTGTTTAAAACAATGAAACATACTTGCCGAATTGCCTCAGTTCGTACTAAAAATATTTCTTGGGAAAATTTATTTTAAGCTTTTTAACATTTCTTTTTCCATCTGTTGCAGATGCTTAAAGTTGCTTACATGATGCTTTATTTTTCCATTATTTTAGTTTTTTTTGTTAATAACTCTTTCGTTCAAATGAAGAGAAGGATGTGTTGTTGTTTTGACTTCCTTTATAGTTTTTTTCCCTCCATAGTATAGAAGTTTTCTTTTTTTAAAATCATTTTATTATTTATTCAGTATTTCCTAAAATATTCTGCGCTCTGAAAGCTAATTTAAGAGTACAATATTTTAGAAAACAAAATTCTTCATGGTTGTGTTAGTTTAACTTTTGCAAATATTTAAACATTTAAATTTTTTAGCAATAACACTTATTTATTGAAAACTTATTAAATGTACAGTTTTTGTCAGTTCAAAGCAAAATGAATTATATTAAAATTAGTTTCGTAATGAGCACCTTTAATTTATATGTTAAGAATCCTTGTGAAAGGTAAAGCTTTCATCCTGCTTTCCTCAGTAGTGATCCGTAAGATTTCGATATTGTTTACAGTTTTGCCTAGTTTGACTCTTATTGTAAGACTGCTTATGTGTTATTCTTTGGACTTTAATACATGATAAAGAATCCAAAAATATGCTCAAATATTATGAAAATGGTCAAACATCTCTAGAAATTCAAATATATACGTAGGAATTATTTTTAAGAAATGCAGGGTGCTTTATATGACACCAAATTTGACCCTCCTGACCTCAATGGTTGAGGATGTGGTTGATGGCAACTTTAAAATATTTAATGAGAAATCTAATTTTTATTGTAGATTTGGATTCTTCAGAAAAAATTCCTTGATTTGGTGAAGATGGTGAAGTTGGTAGTTAGATTTAGTATTATTGAACAATAATGAACGCATAAGTTTTTTAAGATTTTTGATCTGATGAGAATTTCTACACATATTGAACCATTTTAGTTTTTTTGAAACCCTATATATTAAGGATAATCATTAAGAAACATCTTGTATCGATTTTGATGCCCATAATTTTAGGTACGAGCGTCGAAGGGAAGGTTGGTGAAGTGTTTATGACAACTCCATCTCCAAATATGCTTTTAGGAATATGGGGAGACAAAGATAAAATAGTGCTTCGAAAAACATATTTTTCTAAATATTCAGGTAAGGCAGAAATTCCAATATTTTCAAATTTTTCTTCTTATATGTTAGCATTGAAATTTAACAATTGTTTCACAGCTTTACAGAAAATTGTATTCATATTGAGTTGAAATTTTTTTAAAATGTTTTACGAATTTTATTTTCTTGTACTTCAGCGTTACATAATACAAGTATATGACTTATTGCATTGAAGGAAATGAAATTTCATTTCATAAGACATTATTAGCCTTTTATTATATTTTGCATTATATTTTGAAATTTGCCTATCTTTTAAGTTAATCATAATCAGGCTATCTTTTTAAAGAAATCGTTGCAAGTAGGAAACAATGTTTATTTCAATTTATACTTTCAAATTTAAACTATTACCTTAGTTTCATGTCTCACAAAGTAAATAAAAATATATTTAAATAATAAATAAAAAAACGAATACTCAAAATATTCAACTTCGTTAAAAATCTTTTATATTACACTAGTAAACCTTTTTCATGGCTTAGTTATAACATTAATAAATAAAGTATGTCAATAAATAAAGTATGTTCTTGCATATTTTAACTTATTGAATTTTAGAAAAACGAGGTATTAAAAGTATTCCTTATTTATGAATACTTTATGTATGATTATATTATTTGTTTTAAGTGGAAACAATGTAAACAATGAATTATAAAATTTCTTTAAAATTGTGTACATTATTTTCTCTACAGACAAATTTGGCATTGGAGATCACGCAATTATCAATCCCAAAACCAAAGGATTTACCATTTGCGGTAGAAGGTGCGTAAACATTTCAATTTGAAACTAAGAAAGAAAAATGGGCAGCTCTTTTTTAATATTAGTTCCTTATTGTACGGAAAAGCTGTATACAGTTTTAAAAAAAATTACATCTAAAAATTTATATCATAACGTTTAAAAAAAAGAAGTGCTAGTTTTTTAAAAAAATTTTTTTGTTGAAATATCAGTACAAGTTTATAATAAAGAGCCACTGTAACTTTAAATCGCATAAAATTTGCTTCCCTCAAATCTCTACTTTAATGCAAACGGGTTAGAAATTTCACACAGTAAAGTGTATAAAATGATAGTAAAACATAGACCAGTTTAATAACTTATATATTAAATATTAACTTATCTGTATTTATCCGATTTTCTAGTAAGTATAGTTTGTGAATAATATAGTATCTAAGCAGTTTGTTTTGTATTTCCAATTTGTAAAAAATTGATAACACTAATAGATTTTCACAATAGATAAAATTTGGGCCTTTTCCAAAATTTATGTCATAATATAGGAAAGGAAAACAGCTTTTAATTAAAAATATTCAATAATTTTTTCATTTCTCAGTTTTAAAAAAATTTCTGAATTATAAACATCGGGGGAAAAAACTAAAGATATTGTTTGATTCAAGTAGGTGAAAATTGTCAGCTATACCCCACTTTTAGGGCGGATGACCCCTTTTACTATATTGTTATGGAATGAGTGCTTCACCCCACTTCGGATCGTTGACCACTCGTCTATAGGATGAGCGCTATACCTCCCTACCTCTGTATGGATGATAATTCAACCTCAATGATAAGCTCTTAGTAGGGATGTTGTAGCATGGCTCTTCACATAGCATGGTTTGGACTAAACAAATGGTCCCTAAGCATTTTGGGTACTAATTTTTTCACAACTATGGGTATATTTGAAAAGCTTGACTCTAATTTTTTAATCTGAAATAAATTTTAAATCAATTACATGGTGCAAATAATTATAAAAAATTCGCAAAGTGTCTTTCTTTATGATGACTATATATATATGCTCTTGACGTTGCATAGTTTAGACTAAACAAATGCTTCTTAAAAATTTTCATTATTTATTTCTTCACATGTAGGGGTATTTTTGAAAAATTTGGCGCTTAATTTGTAATCTGAAACAAGTTTCAAATGTATTTCTCATTGTATAAAGTAACAAAAAGTTCGCAAAATGTCCTCCTTTATTTTTATATGTATGCTCTTTACGTATGATTGCTTGGTCTAAAAATTGCTTCCTTAAAATTTTGAGTTGATATTTTTTGACATATACGGGTATATTTGAAAGAATTGACTCTCATTTTTTAATCTTAATCAAGTTTAAAACTAGTTCCTTATTGCAAAAAATTATAAGAAATTTGCAAATTGTCCCCCTTTTCGTAATTATACATATGCTCTTAACACATCAATTTTTGGAGAAAACAAATCCTTCTTACGATCGGTTAATTTTCAAGAAAACGATCATAAAAGTGCCTATTTTTTGACTTTTGTATTTGTAATACGTATTTGATCTGTGCTGCAACTAGTTTAAAATAAACTAACTATCTACAATTACCTTAAAATCATCCTTGTACTGCCATCAGATGCGTAAAATGAGAAATAAAATGTTTTCAGGGCAACAGAAATGAATTAGTTTTATTCTTATTGGCGCGTTACTACTGAACACTCCAGCCCGTCAATATCACGGGAGCGAGAAATAGCGGGCGAAATCTCACCTCGTCATTTGCACGGGAGCGAGAAGGAAGGGGTTAAAACTTCTGATTACTTTTTTCATGACACATATGGGTATTTCTAGAAAAACTGACCCTCACTTTGTAATCTGCAACAAGTTCTAAATAATTTCCACATTGCAAAAAATTATAAAAAAAATTGCAAATCGTCCTTCTTTTCGTCACATATACATATGCTCTTAACACATTACTGTTTGGAGTAAGCAAATCATTCTCAAAACTTTTGATTACTTATTTCTTGACACATCTTGGTATTTTGGAAAAATTGACGCTCACTTTGTGATCTGGAACAAATTTTAAATGAAATCCTCATTGGAAAAATTTATAAAAAATTCGTAAAATTTCCTTCTTTATTTTTATACGTATGCTCATCACGTCATCACGTAGTGTTGTTTGATCCAAAAATTGTTCTTAAAAATTTGGAATTCTAGTTTCTTGACACATATAGGTATTTTTGAAAAATAATTGACACTTGCTTTTTATATGAAACAAGCTTCAAATGAATTTCTTATTGCAAAAAAATTATAAAAAATTTCGTACAGCGTTCTCCATTTTGTTATCGATAAATATGCTCATATCGTAGGTGAACAAATCCTTCTTAAAAATTTGAATACTTGTTTCTTGAATCGTATTGGTATTTTTTAAAAAAGTGGCATTATTTTTAAAATAAGAAGCAGGTTTTAAATGAATTTCTCACTCAGGATTTAATTTGAAACTTATTTCAAATTACAAAGTGAGCGTTATTTTTTTCAAAAATACCAATATGTTTCAAGAAATAAATACTGAAAATTTTTAAGAAGGATTTGTTTCCTCACGTTAAGAGCATATATGTATAATTGACGCAATGAGGGACAATTTGACATTATTTTAAAATTTTTTGCAATGAAGAAATAATTTTGAACTTGTTTCAAAATATAAAGTGAGCATCAATCGCTTTCGAAAGTACTCGTATGTTTCAAGAAATAAGTACTAAAAATTTTTAGGAAGGATTTGTTTGCTCACGTTAAGAGCATATATGTATAATTAACGTAATGAAGGACAATTTGACATTATTTAAAAATTTTTTGCAATAAAGAAATAATTTTGAACTTGTTTCAAAATATAAAGTGAGCATCAATTGTTTTCGAAATTTTTAAGATGCAAGTTTTAGCTCAAACAATGCTACGTTCTAAGTATATATATGAAAATTAAGAATGAAATTTTGGAAATTTTTTATAATTTTTTGCAAAGAGGGTTTCATAGGAAATTTTTCAGACTAGCAAGTAAGCGCCAAAAATACCCGTATACGTCAAAAAATAAGTAATCAAAAGTTTGAAGGAGTTATTTACTTCAAACAATGATGTGTTAAGAGCATATGTATAATTGACGAAAAAGAGGACGATTTGTGGATTTTTAATAATTTTTTGCAATGAGAAACTTATTTGAAACTTGATTAAGATTAAAAAATAAGTGTCGATTCTTTCAAAAATAATCAATTTCCAATGAGAAATTCATTCGAAGCTTATTTTAGATTACAAAATAAGCGTCAAGTTTTTAAAAAATACACATAGATGTGAAGAAATAAGTACTAAAAAATCCTTAAGAAGCATTTGTTTATCCCAAGCCAATGCTACGTTAAGAGCACATATATGGTTAACATAATGGAGGACATAATGAACGAATTTTTTATAATTTCTTTCACTGTGGAATTTATTTGAAACTTTTTTCAGATTTTTAAAGTTAGCGTACATTTTTTAAACATATCCATAGTTGTTAGGAAATAGATATTCAAAACCTTTAGGAACCATTTGTTTAGTCTGAACTAAACTACGTAAAGAGTCATGCTACGTCATCCCTACCAAGAGCTATCAGTAAGGTTGAACCAAAGAATATATAATGTGAGTTGTATACATTCTTTGGTTGAACTCTTCTATACTGAGGAAGTGGGGTTTAGCGCTTATCCTATAGACCAGAGGTCATCGATAAGAAGTGGGGTAAAGCACTCATCCCATAGCACTCTAGTAACAGAGGTCATCAGTCCTAAAAGAGAAGTGTATTGCTCATTTCACCCCTACTGTTCCACCATAGTATAAAGATGAGATGGGCTCAAACCGAATGCACTAGCCTTAGCCGGATTCGAAACAGGCTGGGGCTCACAATAAAGAGTTCTTATTCGAAAGTTTTCAATACTTAACTATACAATCACACAAAAATCCACATTGCTTATTTCAAAAATATTTTTTTTTAAAAAATTATTACTTAATATATTAAGAAGTATTAAATCTTTTGATATGAAAATAGATCATCTGCAAATATTTGGTCTTTCCTTTTGCGAATTATTGTTGTTATCTAATAAATGTGTTTCTCGATTTTTGATGGGTTCTGTTAAAACATTTTCGAGGCAGGGCATGCTCTTGCTTCAAAAAGTGAGTCAGAGCTCACCTCTAGTATACACCTACTTGTTTATAAGTTATTCGCACATACTTATAAATTGGAATTAAACTAAATTGATATGATAATTAGTTGTATTGAAAAAAACAGTACTAAACATAAAAGAGATAAAAATACATGACGCAAACATTCTTATTTATTATTTCTATACCGAGAAAAAAATTCTGCTAAAATAACTGTGTACTAGTAAAATTATTATTTGTTTCAAAAAAGCCATAATTCTGGTTAATGAAGCCAAATTATACGGTATTTAAACCATTCATTTGGTAATTTTCCGTTCTCATGGTAACGGTTTACCGGAATTTCTGATTTACAAAATTAAAGTTCTTATTACCACACACTTAGTAAAAAAATACAAAATTGTAAAGTTAATTTAACCTAATAAATTTTTTTATGCCATGCTCTCAGAAATCATGATAAAATTACCAAATTTTGTCATATTTACTAAATTTTATCACATATTACAACACTGTATTTTATGGTTAATTTAACAAGTTTTTACCAAAGCAGTTCGGTAAAAATTATCATGTATTTTGGTGTTACATCAGAGCCAGAAATACGGTAAATTTAACCACATTTTGGTAGTTTTGACCACAACTTTTTCTCAGAGCATTGAACTTCTTTCAAAAACAGTGGCTCGAAACCGGTGCCGAGACATAATACATAAAAGTATCAGGTTAAAAATAAATCATTATAACTTACTAGGGAAATAAAAGTATTTATTTCCTTTGCAGTGATGATACATTGAAACAACGAGGTGCAAGATTTGGAAGTATAGAAATATATAATATTGGTAATAACAGATTTCTTTACTAATGCATTCGTTTCTAATGAATATATACTTCCCAAATATGACCTTCTTTATTTTTTCTGTATTTGACGTTTGTATCCTGATGTGATGGAAAGATTTGTAACAAGAAAAAATAATTGTCATACGTAATATATATAATCAAAACGCTCTTCACATAATTGAAATATTCGCTATTAAGATCATAAAGTATTTTGGAAGAAAAAAAATGAAAAAGTGAGTTGGAAATTTTTTTTTTTCCCCCTCTAGAATCGGGGTTGTTTTTTTTTTAAATCCTTAGAACACTAGAAAAAAAAAGCATTTATATAGGAAAAATAGTATTTTTCCCCAAAGAAAAAGATTTTTCAATTTTTTAATGTTATTTTAAAGTTTTGCTTCAACTGTAAAAAAATACATTTTTTTTTGGAAACATAATTTCAAACTAAATTAAAAATTACAAGCGATATTTGAAGAAGAAAGTTAACAGTTCGCTCCAATTCAAAAATTTTGTGAATAATAATAATAAAAAAGCATATTTATATAGGGAAAGTATCATTTCCCCCAAAAGAAAATAATGATTTTTAAAATTTTTAATGCTATTTTAAAGTTTTGTTTTAACTCTAAAATAGATATTTCTTTGGAAAGATAATTTCAAACTAAATTAAAGCGATGTTTGAAGAAGAAAGTTAACAGTTCGTTCCAATTCAAAAATTGAGTGAATAATAATAAGAAGAAAAGCATATTTATATAGGGAAAGTATCATTTCCCCCCAAAGAAAATAATGATTTTTCAATTTTTTAATGTCATTTTAAAGTTTTGTTTTAACTCTAAAATATATATTTTTTTGGAAATATAATTTCAAACGAAATTAAAAATTACAGGAGAAGTTTGAAGAAGAAAGTTAACAGTTCGCTCCAATTCAAAAATTGAATGAATAATTGGGCGGATAAAAAAAAAACAGGCATATTTATATAGGGAAAACAGTGTTTTTCCCCTAAGAAAAAGAATTTTCAATTTTTTAATGTTTTTGTACAGTTTTGTTTTGACTCTAAAATATATTTTTTTTGGAAACATAATTTCAAACTAAATTAAAAACTACAAGCGATGTAAGAAGAAGAAAGTTAAGCATTGTATTAGCTCCAATTCAGAAATTGTCATTTAAAAAAAAAAACGAAAGCTAAATTTATTCAGAGTTGTTTATATTTTACTACAAAATTCGCTCATATATTTTTGACTTATATTTATAAAGAATAGGTGTGAGTTCCTTGGATCGGTGTAAATATTTCACTCTCCAAGTGGGGAAATTTCGCATCCATTGTATGTAGTTGGTCAGCTGCATTGGTGACAATTTCAGATTTTCCACATATATGCTAGACAATGTTTTCTCGATTTTTTTAGTTGATTTGTTTTCAATAAATTTGATTGGAAAATAAAATAACATTGTACTTGCATTTGAAAACAGAAAGGTATATAAGTACTAAAATGCAGTCAAACCCCTCTATAGTGAACCTTCAAGGGTCCTGAATTTCGTTTCACTATAACGGGAAGTTCACTATATCCGTATTGCAAAGAATTTTAACTGATCTTTCGGAACTGCTCGCTTTCATTACGAATTATTTAAATGAATGACCAATAAAAAGAAATGCAAAAATGATTTTAAAAAAATCTGTAGTAACAAAAAATGTGTTTAAAATATTTAGGGATGGGAAGCTGAGATCGAAGAAGCAAACAAGAAAAAATGCTTATGGCTACATTCCACTCAATAAATGGTTCTAAAAATCGGTAAATGCATTTTATGTAGAAATTTCTAAATTACCAAGAAATGAAGAAAAAAATCAGTCGAAAACATAAAAAACTTCATAATATCCAATTTCCTCTCCTCTTTTGGTTCATTATAACCACAAAAAATAATATATGTGTATAGCAAGGCACGGGAGCGAATATTTCGTTCACTATATCCGAGAGTTCACTATAAACCTTTTACCCTATAACGGGGTTTGACTGTATTATTCTTTTAAAGATAAAATACAAAGTTAAAAAATATTTTTGCAAGCTCTAACAGATTCAAATGAAGTTTAGACTTGTTGTTTTTTTTTGGACCATTCTCAGTCTTGTATCGTGATTCATGTCCAGTTAGCGCAAACATATTTATTTTTGAAATTTACCGTCGACAAAATGTAAAAAATTTGATACTCTAAATAAAGCCAATATATTTTTTGAAATATTTCAATAAAATATATTTTGACATTTCTTTTATTTATATTACTTGAAAAATTAGTTACATTTGCATTAATATCTAAATTTAATCAACAAACAAGTTTTGGAAGAAACGAACTCAAAATGAGTGTTGGAGCAATGCATGGCAATCCAAGGTACAGGACCATCTTATACCTTGGTTCGATATAAGGGTGGTTAGAATTAAAGTGCCCTTATTCAGGCTTATCTAGAACTCGTTCTACTAATTGAATTGTGACGAAATTTGGTACATGTGCTAAGTGAACCATGGGAAAATGATTTCAGCAAAAATATATACTTTTCTTCTGAAACATATGCCAGAATTTATACAGAAAAAATTAGACAAACGTATTTTAAACATTTCGCAAAAAAATGGAATTATTATTATCTGCAGCAAAAAATAAAATGTCAAAATTGGTTTGAAGTACAACATACACCCCTATATAAAGATTCGTGTCAAATTGTGTAAAGAAAAAACAATGAGTTTAACCCTTATGATGCAGATGGGACACTGGTATCGCTTTTATATATTTTTTTTCAAGCAAAAATTTTTTTTGGTATTTTTTATTTATAAAAGGCTGTATACTAGTTGTTGAAGAATCTGTTAGATTATCGGAAATATATTGTCTTTTTTCTCCCTATTCAAAAATTAATCAATAATTAATTTTGTAAATTAGCGATATTACAATAACTGTTAGACCTAAATAACTGCAAATAAGAGCAAATTTGAAAAATTATTTCTTGGAAATGAGCCGCGTTTGGAAGATTTTGCCTTTAACACAAAAAGAAAAAAAAACACACCCGTGTTTCATGCTGTACTTCATAATCAAAAATTATTAAAATGGTAAATATAATATTTTTCTCGTACTGCGACCAAAATTAATAAAAAATAATAAAAAAAAGCTATGAAAAATATATTTAATAAGAATTCTGCGTCAAAGGGTAAAAAGGAATTTAGTTGCACGATAATATGATTCGTCTGAGAACCATGTTAACCCCTTCCTTCTCGCTCCCGTAAAAATGACGGGGTGTGGTTCCGCCCTCTATTTCTCGCTCCTGTGATATTTCCGGGCTGGAGTGTTCAGTAGTAACGCGCCAATAAGAATAAAACTAATTAATTTTTTTTGTCCGGAAAACATTTTGTAGCTCATTTTACACACCAGATGGCGATACCAGGATATTTTTAAGGTTATTGTAGACAGTTAGTTTATTTTAAACTAGATGTCAGCACTAATCAAATAGCACTAATAAAAAAATAGGCAATTTTATGACTGTTTTCTTGAAAATTAACCAATCGTTAAGGGGTTAATATTACAGCAAATTTTAAGGATATTATGGATCAACGCTTTCAAAACTTCCTAACAGAACAAAATTTAAATTTGTTTCAGATTTTTTCGCAATGTAGAAAATATTTACCCATTTATGTATGAAAAGGAGCAGGCATATAAATTTTTGATTTAAAATGTTTGTTTCAAATCAATATTTTTTGAAATTTATTTTACAGTTCATGCTTTGCCATAGATCGAAGATAGCATTTGCGGCTCGTAGATAAATAAGAACTATTATGGTTCAATGCATTCAAAACTTCCTTACAGAATGAAATCTCAAGTTTTTCCAGTATAATTTTTTCGCAATATAGAAAATATTTACATATTCATATGTTTACACTTATTTATATGTTTACACTTTCAAGTTTCATAAGGAAATCAAATTGATTTTCTTGCATTTCATCTCGTTTTGTCTTCAAGTTAGTTTGGCTGTGTGAAAAGAAGTATGTGCATAAATTTTAGTTTAAAATGTTTGTTTGTAATCAGTATTTTTTGCTCATTTTACAGATCATGCTTTGCCAGAGATAGAAGATATTTGCATCTCGCAAATAACCATAATTTATTATGGTTGATCGTATTAAAACTTTCTAACAGAATGAAAACTCGATTTTTTTCAGAATTACTTTTTTGTAATATAGAAAAATGCTTACATATTTATGTATGAAAAGATATATGCACATAAATTTTGGTTTAAAATGCTTGCTTCAAATCAATAATTTTTTTTTTCATTTTACAGTTAATGTTTTATCAGAGATCGAAGATAGCATTTGTGTCTCGCAAATAAACAGAAACTTAGATTCGAGGGCAGTACTGTTTCTTAAAATAAAAAATGGGTATCGATTTGATGAACAATTAGTTTCAAAAATTCAAAATGTGATTGAAAAAGAATTAACAAATGTGCACATTCCTGATGTGATATTAGAAACAAAAGATGTACCGGTATGTATTTTAACTCCTTTTTTTTATCTCCATGAAATATATGATTTTTTAAATTGAAGTAGCCGTGAAATTTATTCATAGAAAATGACATTACGTTTTCAAATGTTAAGTAGCTTTTAGGTTCAGAGTTTAGTAAGCCGAATCCCCCCAATTTTTAATTCAAATCAAGCAAATATTGTCATTCATAAGAAATTAAGGCAAGGATTCTTGAATGTGGCTGTTCGTTGATTTGTTGTTATGGACTAAGTCAACAATGTCTTTATATAAGCATATACAGGGTGTTCCGTAAAGATCACCCTTAATGTTTATTTTTATAATCCTTTTAAAAAAATAACATAAAAAATATACACCCTGGGGATTACGAATCAATATTTAGCCAGGAAAAAAAAAGCAATTTTGGAATTTGACAATTCACGGCGCAAAAAATCAGTAGTAATAAACAAGTCAGGTGTGATTGCGGGTGGATTTAGAAAATTATTAAAAACATCGTCAAGTTTTAACCTCCAATTAAACCTACTTTGATTTTCATTACACCTGTTTTCCCCCATTTCCTTGTGAGCGTCTTTATTGTACTCGTATTTAGAATTCTTGTTAAAAATTAAGTACAAAAAAATTCTTATTATAATAAAATTTAAAAAAAATACACGACCGAAATTTCATAAATTTTCACCGAGGAAAGCAGTTTTGAAAACAATAACACCTGATTTATTTCCGGAAAAATCAAGAAGAAATTGAAAAGCTATTATTGGTAACACTTTTAAGTTTCATAAGGCAATCAAATCTATTTTATTGCTTTTCCTCCCGCTTCATCCTCAAGTTTTGTTTGACTGATTTTGATAATGTTTTTGTATATTTTTTGTATATCTAATTATTAATTTTCATATGCTTATTCATATGCTAATTTTCATGTGCTTAATCATACGCTTATTTTTTATCTTCGAAAAATAATTAATGAAGGTAATATTTACAAATGTGTGTCTCAATCGCAAAACTTGATTACTCTATGCAATAATTTTTACTTTAAAGAGCCATTCTCTCTGCATGCGGTTTATGCACCTCCAACCAGAGTTGGCGATAAATGAGAATCTGATTGGTGGAAAACATTTTTCCGGAAAAAAAACTCACTCACCCAGGTTCTCCTTCTCTCACGACGGCGTGTGCGTGAACCACATGCAGTGTGAATGGTCCCTATATGAAAACACCTCCTTTAACACAGAAATTAATTTAATTTCCTCTTTTAAGAACACATATCGGAAAATAATCTAAAGCCTGTTTCTTACAGATCCTTTGGTTAAAGGCAGATTGTTTACGATATTCTGTTGTCTGTTAGTCATCTGTTAAACATGATTCAGAATTTATTTTCATATAAAGTAAAAATATTTTAATGCTTCTTGCAACTAAAACACTTTTATTATAAGCGTTATAATTCATACATAGCATATAGGCTTTAAATTTTTTTAGACTGTATTTATTGCACAATAAGATCATATTATTTGTTTGATTTTATACGAATGCATCAGATAGATTAATTTTTGTTGATATAATTCCAGTATAATGTCAATGGAAAGAAGATGGAGACTATCGTCAAGAAAATTATAAATAATATGCCTTACAATTCAGAATCAGTCATCAATCCTGGTTGCTTAAACAGCTTCAAGAACATTCCAGAGCTTATATCTTGGCAATAATTTTTATTTTAATAGTACTTGTTTGCTTGAAAATTACGTTACACATTCTATAATAATTATAATAATAAATATATTTATATATTTTCCAAATCCAGTCATAATTAATTTGCATTTTCGTTTTGATTAAACAATGAGGTTTCTTCGAAAGCTAAAAGTATATGAGGTGTGGGCAATATTTTGTGCATTTTGGCACGTTAATTTTTATTTTATAAACTATATATAAAAGTATAAGCGCTTAAAACTTCATTTTCTATAATGAGACTTTCCTAAACTGTTGTAAATTTTTGTTGAAAAAACTGCTCAAATGGCAATTTATCTAATTCTTTTTCACTCTATACAAACAAAACAGTCCAATAACTATAAAAAATTTTACTCTGTTAACTGTAAGAAAAAAATACTTATTGACTGTTTACACCTAATACACCCACAGAATTTTACTCGCGCCAACTAGATCCTCTTTATGAAGTCACTTGGTTCTTTGCTGTCGGGTACATATTTTAAACGAGAGGGTTAATCTGCCATTCTCATGACAGGCTGAACTGGCTGCTGCCGCAGGTCTAGTGTTGATACCACAATATTTCTTCCATTTACATGAAGAGTTTTCAGTGTCTTGCACTCCCCGATTGAAAACCTTGAACTGTAAGAATAAGATATTCTCAATCATGCATAGATGGCAGCACCAGAAAGCTGCCCAAGACGAAAAAGTACACAGTCTCTTACGGTTGATGGCACTAACAGATTAACTAAAGAGCCTTATTCCATGATTCATTTGCAAAAAACAACTCAACCACAACCTAACTCCAATGTCCATCGAAATGCCTAACTCAAATGTTCAGTTAAATTTCATTTTTTTTGTGTGTGTTTTGAAACCATGTTAGAACACTAGTTCAAAATGTAAACTTAATGTTCCGAAACGTAAACTTTACGGTTGATTCGATGAAAAGACTGTTGTCGGTTATTTTACCGTAATTTTAGAAGGAAAATTCTAACAATCTACGAATTCTATTTAATATTACTTTAAAAAAATCGTTTATCGTAAAATTAAAAAAAAACAAGGAAAGAAGCAAAAGAAAAATGGGAAAAAAAATACTGAAATTTAAAAAAGAATATTTAAAAAACAAATTAAAGCTCGAAAATTTAACAACAAAATGTAATTACCTCGTCATCAACACATACAGTTATATCCGCAAAAATAGTGCTTTCTAATTTTGTATTAAAGTAGCAAAAGCAAAATATATCAATTCAATAGTGTGATGAGCACCAAAAAGGAGAGAAAGAGAGAGACCGATTCGTAAACATAATTTTATTAAGCAAAAATATCAAAAATGTCGAGAAAAATTCAAAATATTCAAAGATTCAATATATATATATATA